TTTGTTTATTCAATTTGTCGTTTTCATTTTTCCTTTCGTTTTCCATTTAACCTCGTCGTTTTCGTTTGTCACGGGATAAGGAGCCAGAGCCAACTCTGTGGCTGCCGTTTCTTAACTTATCATGATAGAGCCCCAGAAAAAGCAGTGTAACGGACTCAGCTAAGTTTACAATCACAACGAGATACATCATTATCAAAGTGTTCTCAAAATATGCACCGCAAGGTGTGGATATGCTCAGAATATACAAGCAACACTTTTGCGCCTTTCGTGCAGCTCCGTGAGATGGTTTTGCAAAGGCTTGCATGCAAAATTTGCGTGATTTTGAAGAAACAAATTATTTTAACCTACCCTAGTGGTTAAATCTTTGAACTAGCGGTAAAAAAATTATCTTCAATCGCAGAATTTTAGATAAAAATCGCGCTGCTCTTCCCGCCAAGCTCTATCCTTCTTAGTTCGGAAACCGCTGGGGAATCATGTCGACCCCCTTATCATTCTACGGCATGAAAACCGGCGAATCAGGGCGAGGGTTTAATTATTAGAGAGAATGTTTCAAGCTTAAGATATTGTGGCAAACATCATATTTAATGGAATAGGCTGGCTTTAGTTGCTATGGGTTTTCTTCACATGCGTGATTAACTTATTATCACTTGTGTCACATTTCACAGCGCTCCCGCTCAGTTTTTTTCGTGAGGCTATCATCCTCTCCTATGGTCCTGCGAGGTTAACTACCGACTTTTTGACCTGCGGTCACACAAAACTGAGGCTTGATAAGAATAGACTTACAGACTTGCATTCACAAATTTGAAGATGGCTCGGTGAAGCTGCTTTGTTACAAGGTTTTCGTCACGCAGCATGTTAGTACATTGCTAACCCCACTTCCGTCACATTGTTTCATCGAAATGCATGCAATAGCTGACTATTTATCTTACCAGTTACCTCAGGTGCTGCTTTCGTCTCGTGCGGAGCAGCTGGTCGCTGGTTATTAAGACGGAGCGACTGGCGCCTTATTCTTTGATCGTGCTCTGATCCCACTACATGCCACCGTGCAGCCCTTCTGTGAGGTGAGAGGAGACGATTTCATCAAAATTGCATCGGTTTAGGCGTTGATGATGTCGGTTGCAATGCTGCATAATGCAAAGATTGCAGCTTCAATATAAGCTAGTATAATTCAAGACCTCTCACTTTGGCGGGTTTGGTGTCTAACCAGCACGCATGTTTGAATCCGTGGTTTAAGTAGCATGGCATACTTAAATGCACTGCGTCGCCTTAAAAACAGCAAAAATATCCAATTAATCTTTTTTACTTGCTATGCCTGGAGCAGGAACTATAACTGGTATAAAATAGAGCGAGAGGTTCGATACCAAGGTACCTGATGTCCGCTGCGGGTTGGGCTTGTGGCGTCCTCTTCGATTCCCATCAAGGTAGTTCCTTGAATGGCACGTATAGGTGGCGCTGCTAGATTGGAAAACTACGGCGAACTTCGGTGCATTGCTGCCTAAAGAGGAGCAATCCCTCCCAAATGATGCGGTGCAACACTGAGACAAACATAATAAAAGTCTGATCACACTGTACTAGACGAAACCCTTCGCGAATTAAAGCAAGTTTACGCTCCAAGCTCCACCACAGTCGTCCATGCACATTCTCCGCGCTCGCTAATTTCACCCGCGAGACGTCTGTGCCAACAGAGATATACTTCATGTGAGCTCCACATCACCAAGCAGGGGAGGTGGGTGGTATCCCCTGCCTCCAGCCACCCAAGGCTCGTGGTTGGCCGGAGAACATATCATACTTTATTGGGGTAAACGGCCCCAACCTGACGCCATAAGATGCAGGTGCAAGATGCAAGATTTCCCATGCTTTTGCCCGCTGGCCACACAGATAGCTTGGCTGGCTTTCATGATGGTCACTTTCCCGTGATAAAGGGAAACGATTATTCTCAGCTTGGATTGGTTCCGGATGCATTCTGCATGGCACCTAGCTCAGAATGTGTTCAAGGCCCATTTGTCTTTAAAAGCCTTGCATATTGGTGCAAAAAATTCGCAATTATTTGTAATTTACTCGGCTGTTGCTTAGTTGGGTGCCATTCATGTTGTTTGCTACAAATCTATTATGGCACCGCCAAACAATTGGGAGAAAAAAATATTGGGAAGCCTTCAGCATCTATATAACATCAAAAACATTTATGTAAAATCAAAGGCCAACTGCATACACCGCGGCACTCTGAGCGTTCATCTCCGATCTAATCTTTTGCGAGCCCAAAAGCCAAGGCGCTTGTTAGCTATCTTTGACTTCTCAAACTGGCAGCATTTAGTCACATATCCATATAAATATGCCATAAATTTGAGAACGTAGGGGCACGTACCTCCGGGCGCTGCTTCTCCTCCATCACTTCATTTTCGATGTAACGGCACATCCCACGGCCGGGTATTCTATTTTCTCTTCGTAACATCTCACCGAATGTGTCAAGATGCTTTCTACATGATAGTTCTACGTCTCGGCAAGGGCGTACGCAGGATTTCACAGTGGGGGAGGGTGGTACAGCTCAAAAGGTTCTCTGAAATCCGAGTTTAGTGCAACGTACGCGCGCGTAGTTTCCTTCGAGCCGTAAAGCAAAACGGTATGTTATCCATCATCTCTTTGATGCATGGCCACATGTAATCTGTAGCTGTGAATGTTTTTAGTCGCATGCCCATCACATCGGGTCAGAAGCCAGCTGATGTTTCGTCTCTGAAAGTGTTCGTCATCCGCCTGTCATGCAGAACACATCGCCGTTTCCACGCAGAGCCCTAAACTATTAAGGCGCCGCGACTGATCCTTGAGAAAGTTCTCAACCGTTCCAGGACAGCGACCATTTGAACCAGATCGCCGTCTGATCCAGCTGCACCACTGCCGCCTCCGTCTCAGTGCCCACACCACCTGATGCAGCCTTGCAATGCGGTCAACGCCCCACGATCTAGGGCCGGCGTGCGGATTAATTGCGTTTCTGCAGTGTCTGCAAGGCCGGACTGAAACTCGTCTGTTTAGTGCTCTCGTGGGAAAGTGTCCACGGAAATTTGGCATGCAAAGTCATCGGGATCAACCACCTGCACGCTGGCTGCCGGTCAAACCTTCAATTTACATACGGGCGGGAGCTGAGCCTCTTATTTCGTAAACATGAGATTCCGAAAAGCCTACCATATAAAATTATTGAACAGTCATCGAATATCTTTTTTAGAAATATTTTGTTTTCTTAAGACCTTTCTAAAAAAAATTTAGGCGTATTAACATATTTTCGAATGACGTTAGTGCCACAGTTCTTGCTAACCACTGATTGCTTCATGAACACCGAAATCGTCATGCACATGGTGCAAGATATGGGACAATTTTGCCCAAGTCGGTTCAATGGTACCAGCCAAGCGTATTCATCAACCACCTGCAGACTTCACCATTATTTGTATAAGCCCCCGTTCATTCTGTCCTGATCGCGAGACATTTCCTCTCACTTAAATGCGCTTGGCATCTGGGAGCATAATGGTTCGAAATGTTCCAAATCAACAGCGCACTTAACTTCTCATTCTAAACATTTGGAAATGCATGAATGCTTCAATAACAGCGCGCGTGACTTATGACTGCTCTGCATGACAGGTTGACGTAGCAATTTTCTGACCAATGGGCCGTGTTTGGCTGACGTCTAAAACATCATACATTTCTCTCAACTGCTCTACATGCACAAATGATCAAATCACCACCTGTTTGTCGTTATTACCCGCACCCACGTTTGCGTGTCCTGACGCTGTTGTTTAACGCGCCTCAGCGATAGCGACAGTCGGAGCGCTGCAGTGCGCGAAGGGGATTCTCTGCAGAGATGAAAACGCCGAGGTATGCACCGTTAGCGCGTGGAGTGCCTCCTCCACTTCCTTCGCTCCTTTGGTTGCGCTCCTTCTGCAAGAGCCTACGGCGCATGCGCCGGGTCCAATCAAACGTCGATGCAAGCCTGTTCAGGTTCGCGGGTCGCCTTCCATTCATGGTCCGTGCCACCACCATGGTGAGTGACCTTGTACGATAAAGTCTGTAATGTACCATGCGGTAGCCCAAAGCACCTTGCAGCCTGGAATCCGGCGGTGACCACGCGGAAGTCGCTTCGTGCGAAGGATCCGTCTCATTTCACGCCGTTCACACCATTACAGTCGCGGACAATGCCCCGTAGTGCGGCGGCAGGATTTGAGAGGACGCCGACAGCATTATTAGGCATGACTGTGACCCCGAAACCAGTCACAGAGTCACGGCATGACCCACATACCATGTGACCGCCTGGTGGGGGCAGGCACCTCGGACGGCGCTGACACTCGGCAGTCAGCTGAGCCGTACGCTAATCCGGGGGAATGGCGTCAACGGAGAGTATTTTGCGGTTCGACGCTGTCGCTGCTGGAGCCAATCCTAAGTACAAATCGCAAGTTAGATGATCTTATGATATAGAACTTGCACCCGTCGAACACAATAGTCCCATGGCGTGCGCGTTTGGACTGTTGCGAAGCCAACTACAATGTAAAAGTATGCGATTCGCCACGTAATAACATCCACGAGTAACGGGTCTCCGATCGTTACCTGTCGCTTTCTCTCTGCTGCCAGGCTGTGCCCGCGCTGCTGACTGTCCACATTTCCGACGTGCACTTCTGAAGCAAATAGCGGTGCGTCTAAGCGCACCGCTATGGTTCTGCATCGTGGTACCACAGTTGAACCCTGCAACCTCTGCAGGATTCCATATGTGGTTTGCGTCTGCGTCTTGAGCAGGCATAGGGATAAGTTGAGACTTGTTTCTGGGTCTCGAGTTGCAAATATTGACAACTGTGAGTGGGTTTAAATGAAAGGATTCGCAATAAGCCTCTCCTGGTCACTCACACGGACCAACATCACAGGCCAACCCTCCGAGCTCAGCACATATTTACTGCAGAGCAGGGCAATGCTGCCATTAAAGTATCAAAAAACGGTATAAATAAATGAAAACTTTACTTCATATGCATCATGTAATAAAATAACGTAGATCAACAGTGATACACAGCGTCATTACGGTAACAGGCCCAGCCACATATCATTGGAAACGGTACAACAATTGAAACTTCCGCACACATGCTGAATGTCATTGTATGGTCCTACATGGCAAGATCCGAAATCAATTTCAATCAAATGCTGTTCCTCACTCAAGTCTCCAAGTCTCTTCTGCAGCTGCAGAAAACAAATATTCAAGAACTGAGAAAACATTCGTCGCGCGGAAGAATGGTCCTTAAACAACACGAGCTATTCAACTAACGAATTCATATCACGCACCACATACGTTCATAATTTACGACTTTGTATAAAACGTATACATCACGAGCATCGAAGCAGCGTAAGTAATCTCACCAGTCTCGAGTAGAAATACTCTAATACAGACCCAGCCTATGCACTTGAGCAATGCACAAACGCAAGCCGCCGTGATTACACAGCGACTGTGCAATCACCGTGTCTCGTTTGTAGAAATCCCGTAGCTCGCAGGCCGCGGGCTACAAACTGTGTCTACAACACGCAAAACCCCTGACCACCGACCTTTGACAGTCGCCAGTGGCGCTGAGCACCGCTTGCAGCACGCTCGCGGGTAGAGGGTGCTCAGAGTGGCACTACCAGACCGCTGTTGTTCTCGGAGTGGCACCACCAGACCGCTGTTGTTCTCGGAGTGGCACCACCAGGCCGCTGTTGTTCTCGGAGTGGCACCACCGGGCCGCTGTTGTTCTCAGAGCGGCACCACCAGACCGCTGTTGTTCTCGGAGTGGCACCACCGGGCCGCTGTTTTTCTCAGAGCGGTACCACCAAGCCGCTGTTGTTCTCAGAGCGGCACCACCAAGCCGCTGTTGTTCTCGATCCAGTCGAGGTAGGCGGTGACGCGCGAGTAGACGGCCGGCATGCCGACGTCACAGCCCAGAGCGCTGGTGATGCTGCTGACGCCCACCAGGGTGTAGCGGCCGTCCCTGCGCACCTGCAGCGGTCCGCCAGAGTCGCCCTGCCGCGCGTGAGGTCAGCAGCGGGTCAACAGCAGGTCACGGACGGGGGCACACACAGGAGGGGTGACTGGGGAAAAATTTGCTTTCTTTAACCCCGAAGCTGCAGAAAACCGTGTTGAAAAAATATTTTGTTGACATTGTCGGACCGGTGGAAGCCCTGTCCCCAAGGTTTCTTAGGCTGCGCGGGGTTATATCCATGTTGCAGGACTGGAGCAGAATGACGGAGAGGAAGCACACACAGTCAAGGCATATGTCACATAGGCGTGGGCAGAATGCCGGGCAAAGCAAAAGTTTGAGCAGGCGAAGACTGCCGACCACAAAGTGTCAAACGGCCGAGTGTGCTGACAGCCCAGCACCAGATGAGAACACAAGCAGCCGAAGACTGCCCGCCACAAAGTGTCAAGCGTCCGAGCGTGCTGACACAGCCCAGCACCAAATGAGAACACAAGCAGCCTTCCGTCACGTTCAGCAAACCCGTGGCCGGAACGCTGCGGTTTCCCACATCAGTCTTGTGTACTGTCCGGAGCACAGGAGCCCAGATCAGCATCAGCACTCTGTCCTAAGCGCGGTCAGATAGCGGGCCAACGTGACTCTCATGGCGGAAAACAGGCCACAGGGAAATCTGATCATCTCACGTGTGAAACCAAGGACCCCTAGCTCACCCAAGAAAAAACAACACGGCGACTCTTCCGCTTCCATGCTTTGCTCTCATGCTCTTCTTCTGCAGGACATTTTGATCTGACGTGTTCAGGACCATATCAAGGTCAGACTGCTCAAACAGGGTCAGACAGGGCTGCTTCAGGTCAGACAGGGCTGGTCTAAGGTCAGGCAGGTCAGACAGGGTCAGGTATGGCCGTTTTCAGGTCAGGCAGATCAGACAGGGCTGTTTTCACGTCAGACAAGTCGGACTACTTCCAGTCCAGTGCTGTCCTTAACCGTTGCCAGGGATCCGCATTCAGTGTATGAGGCATTTCACCGACAGACATCACCGTGTAGTCGTTCACACCCACCGCCACGGAGAAACCCACAAGCACTGTGTACAGCGGCGGCTCGAACCCACGACCTCCCGGTCACAAGTCTCTCACTTAACCACTCGGCCACGACGCCAGACCGCCCGTTCTCAAGGTCCAGGGTCGGTTCGTACCTGACAGGGCAGGGTTCGTACCTGACAGGGCAAGGTTCGTACCTGACAGGGCAGGGTTCGTACCTGACAGGGCAGGGTTCATACCTGACAGGGCAGGGCTCGTACCTGACAGGGCAGGGTTCATACCTGACAGGGTAAAGTTCGTACCTGACGGCAGAGTTCGTACCTGACAGGGCGAGTGGAAGCGACCGTGCGTGCAGACCTTCAGCGGCGTGATGTTAATGGGGAACGACGTCATGCAGTCGCAGTTGCTCTTGATGGGCATTTCGGCCCGCTGCAGCACAAAGCTGCCTCCCACCTGGGACCGGAAGATATCATCAAACATCAAACAAAACATTAAGGTACGAACCCTCCACTACCCAGCTGTCGAGATGTCATGTGCTCTCATCCGGTCCGTTTAGGTTTTGCCGCATGTTACCTGGTCTGCGTTAGTCTTGCTCAGTTATATTTGCTCTGATCCGTGTAGGCTTCAACGAATCTTAACTGGCCCGCATAAGTTCCGCTACATTTTACCTGGCCCGTATAGGTCTTATGCTACATTACATGGTACCTGTAGCTCTGTCTTAGGTCAACCGGCCGGCATGGGTATCGTGATACTTCACCCGGCCGGTATGGGTATCGTGATACCTCACCCGGCCGGCATGGGTATCGTGATACCTCACCCGGCCGGTATGGGTATCGTGATACCTCACCCGGTGGGCATAGGTCTTGCTCGGTTCCACTGGTTTTGTAGGTATTATCCCTGTATGGCCCACACCAGCTCACCTGGTCGGTACAGAATATTATGTCATAGCTCGCCCGGTCGGTGTAGGTTCGGCCCTAGCTCGCCTGATCTGTGTAGGTCCAGCCTTAGCTCGCCTGGTCGGTGTAGGTCCGGCCCTAGTTCACCTGGTCGGTGTACGTCCACCCCTGCTTACTTGGTCGGTACAGAATATTATGTCATAGCTCACCTGGTCAGTGTACTTCCAGCCCTAGCTCACCTGGTCGGTGTACGTCTGGCCCTAGCTCACCTGGTCGGTGTAGGTCTTGCCCCAGCCGCATATCTCGCCGCGTGCCTCCGCGAACGTCAGTCCGACCTCAGAGCGGCGCGGCAGGCAGATGGGCCGCACGTGCTCTGACACCGGCACCGGCTCGGGCAGCTCAATCAGCGCCACGTCGTGGTCCTTCGCCAGCCGCGTCCAGTACCGATGCACGCGGTACTGGTTCGCTTCCATCTTCAGCGTGAGGTTGGTCTCCTTGGAGACGTCCAGGTAGCCCATGTGGACGGTGGTGGAGCGGGCGTAATCGACGCAGTGGGCGGCGGTGAGCACCCAGCGGCGCGAGATCAGGCTGCCGGTGCAGTAGGTGGTCTTCTCGGGGCCGCGCGGCGAGTCTGAGATTAAGTACACCACCCAGGGGTAGCTGCCGGGCAGGGCGTCCTCGCCACCGAACACGCGCGCCTGCACGGCCGGCCCGGCCAGGCCGCACTCCTCTGCAACAGGCGGGGGGACAGGTGAGAAGAGGCCCGGCCAGGCCGCACTCCTCTGCAACAGGCGGGGGGACAGGTGAGAAGAGGCCCGGCCTGACCGCACTCCTCTGCAACAGGCGGAGGGACGTGTGAGAACAGGCCCGGCCAGGCCGCACTCCTCTGCAACAGGCAGGGGGACGGGTGAAAACGGGCCCCGCCAGGCCTCACCGCATTACAACAGATGGGAGGCGGTGAACGAGGGCACAACGGTGATGAAGAGGCGCGGAGCATATAGGTGAGGCGAGAGGGGGGAGGGGGCGGAAATGGGACGGAGAGAAGGTGCGAGTGAAAGAGAGCGAAGCACAAGGGAAAAAGAGAGAGAGATGGAGAGGGGGTGGGAGGAACGGAGGAAGGGAAAGACAGACAGACGGACAGACAGACAGGGAGGGGAATTCGGTGCCGTATCGAGATGGATTGGAAAACGGTGCGGAAACTATGCACATGGTCATGTTACGTGTGCAAACGGGCTCCCACCAGTGAGTGAGGATTATGATGATCGTATAAATTGTTATGTTTCCGTCGGAACAACAACAGGTTTGTTGGTGCCGGAACACTTCCTGGATTATCCGTGATGCTAGTGTATCAAAAACAACAGCGGCATGCGGTTCATTGCGCCATTACCACAGCATCAACGCACATAGATCCTTTTCCTCACGAGGATAAATCAGTGTTTCGGATAACGTCCTGGCTTCAAATTTATCTGACAGCGGGAAATTGTCGCGCTCTACAAGCCAGCACGGAAACAGAGCCACTTTTGGGAGTGTCGTTCAGCTGTCGTCAGCTCAGCTGTTTGCCATGCAAATGGCGGCATCCATCGCAATTGGGACTCGCCCGTAGCACAGGGATCCCAAGATAGCTATTTCCTTGGATCGATGCGTTTAACAACAAACGTTTGTCCAAGGGAATTCGCGCATAAATTGCTGAAAGCGCTTCGATTTGTTGACGCGAATGGACAGATCCTTCGCGGGTCTGGAGAGATAAGTCGGGAAAACGGTAAATATTGCGGCTTTTGGAGTGATCTGATATTTAGATTGAATCCTATCACAGCCGGCAATATATATAAACAATGATAACGAATAAGGCGCCCTGGAGCTTTCAAAGTAAGCAGCGTTTAAGTTATGTGCAGACTACGTGCGGCACGATCTATTTAAAGTGCGTACTTTTGAGCTATTATCCGCATGTTGAGCCAGACGTTGGCTCGCAGCAAAGCCTTTCAAGGAGCTGTCGTTTTATGGAAGTCCAATGCATGTTACGGCTGAAAAATGAAATAAGCTCATACCAACAACTAAAAAGCCTTCGGTAGCATGTTTGTAACATACACCCTAAGCAGTCCGGTGCAAATTTAAGCACACTTCCGCGCTTTATTCCTAAATTCCATTTTGAGAGCTTCTGTTTCATCATGTCGTGGATTGACTCAACTTAAAACATCAAACGCTTGTTGGAAACCTCAGGCAGTAGTACACATACATAGCCTGAGAAACGTAAACTGACGCCACACTGTATCCGGGCCGAAGCAATTCGTTAACACGCGGCAGGAAGTCGATTCCGATTCCGAACACAGATGGTCTCTGAACGATTCGTCCAAGGGCGGATCCATGCGGCGAAGGCGTCCTCATCTCCGGTGCCGTTATGACAAACTGCGCGCGGTTATTTGTGGAAGTCGTCCCATAAATTCCGAAATGCGAGCGCGCATAGTGGAGCTGCGGAATGGTTTATGACCCCGAAATGGCTTCTAAAAATGCTGACACGGTCGGCACAAAACGCGTCAAAACGCGTCTGTCGTCTCTTGGTGAGCGCCGTCAACAGAGGATAAGGACCGGCCTCAAAGCCTGCCAATCGGTGTAAACTTACCCTCTTTTTGGAAGCCCTCGGTGACAACCACCTCCTCTGCAACTGGCTGCTCCTCGCCGACATCCACTCTCTCCACCGTCTGGGAGTCGTCTTCTGCAGGCTCGCCTTCTGTTGCGTTCTCCTGGACCACGGTCCCATCGACGAGACCGCCGCCGGCATGATGACCGCCCTCTGCATTGTCACGCACTTCACCTTCACCACCCGAGACGGCACCCACGTTAGCAACATCAAGGACAACCGGGACATCCTCATCGTCCGACTCCTCGCCTTCCAGCCGCGTAAGGACGTCCTCTGCATCTTCGCCGACATCCACCCGCTCGAGGAGCGCCTGGGGGCCGGAGGGAACGCGGGGCGTCGTGGGGAACTGGTCGGGCTGCAGCGGCAGCAGGTGCGTCATGGTCTCACCCCCCGCGGTAGTGGCGCGCAGCGTCACCGCCCGCGGCGTCACCACGTACGGCACCTCCACCACCGGCGACTCGGTCGTGTTGCGGTCCACCGGCCGCCGCTCGAACATCGGCGGGTTGCCCCCGCGCTCCGGGTCGTACTGCACGGGCGTGCGCAGTGGCGTGATGATGTACTCGATGTGCTCAGGCGGCCTGAACAGGCCGAGGTCCGGCTCGCTTTGAGAGACGGCTGCCACTTGATCCTCGGCCACCGGGTCATTGATTCCGTCCAGTGCCGCCTCTGTCTCTGGTGCCACGTCCTGCCCGTTCTTCGTCAGCGCCGGCGTCACCAGCGACGCCACCGTCGTCGTCGCCGTCGCCGCCGTCGGCGTCGCCACGTCCCTGGCGCCCGTCAGGATCCTGGCCTTCAGCAGGTCTGCCAGCGACCTCCTGCGCCGCTGGCCTGGGAACCTGACGCGGCCCTCCGGCAGCCGGCGGGAGGCGCGGTGGCCGCGGGCGCTGCGAGGTCGGTGGGACCCTCGGCCGTTGCGGTGTCGGCCGGGCCGCGCCGGTCGCGGCCGCGCCGTCTCGCCCGGCCCGGAGAGCCGGCGTCGTCCGCGGAATAAGTCGGCCAGCGCCTGCAGCCCGCCGGCCTGGGGTCGCCGCTGTGGTCGCGCGGCGCCGGCGCCCGCCGGTCGGTACCCTGAGAAGCCGAACAGGGGTGCGAGCTGAGTCAGTCCCTCGCTGAAAGAGACAGGGCCGGCCTCCGGACGCTGCTGAGGCTCCTCGTGCTGCTGCTGCTCCTGAGGGTGATGTTGAAAGTGCTGCTGCTCCTGCTGGTGTTGCTGCTGTTGTTGGTGATGGCCGTGCTGCTGCTGGTGGTGCTGGCCGTGCTGATGCTGCTGTTGGTGGTGCTGGCCGTGATGCTGCAGCTGCTGCTGATGCGGCCGTCCGCCCGTCCCACCAGGCGCCGTCTCCTCCACAACTCTCAGCTCGGACCCTGCGCCGACGCTCGCGGGTCCTCCCCCGCCCTGCACCGCCTCGCCCCACACCTGGCACGAGAACCCTCTGCGCTGCACGAACTCGTCCGAGAAGAAGCCCATCTTGAGCGCCTGGCCGGGCGCCGTCCGCTTCGTGAACGGCACGGCGGCGCACTGCGTCACGTCCATGCCGTAGACGGTGTGTGCCCGCCTGTTGACCGCCGGCCCAGGGAACTCGATCATGTCCCCGCTGACGGCGCCCAGCACGCCCGTCCCGAACGTGTCGACGTCGGTGCACACCATGACGACGGCCGTGCCGGGCTCGGCCGGCATCAGCACCAGCTTGCGGCACTCGCTCGGCGGGTACGGGCTAGGGTAGTTAGTGGAGGTGACGGTCAGCGGTTGGCCGGCATGCACGGCGTAGTACTCGTGCAGGCAGGACCCTCGAACCTCGGTGCGGTGCGCCTGGCTCAGGCTGGCGTCGGGCGCCGCCGGCGCCTGCGGCACCAGGTGGTTCTTCAGCAGGCTGAAGAAGTCGATGGCGCGGTCCTTAACGTCGCCGCCGCGGCAGCCGGCGGTGAGCTGTCGGTGGCAGCAGATGTGAACGAACGAGCCGAAGGCCGGCCGCAGCGTGGGAACATGCATGACTCTGGTCAAAAATTACGACGTAGTCGTGCAGTTTTAGGCTTTGTGGTTTCAGTTTTAGGGCCTAGTATGCATGCCGCATCTCATCATTTTGTCTTAAGTCTAGAATGTCGCAGTTAATGTGCCAGACATCAGCGCCGGAGTAGAGATGTCCCGCGGTGCTGTTTTAACACTCTCAGGAAAACATTTTCGCCTCCGCATGATTACCATTTCCTAAAGCAATATTGTCACACGGGACTGTGGGACTCCCAGGCACTGGGATGCGTCGACCCAGCACAACTGTCACAGCTGCTATGCTATGTCAAGGGCACGATGGGATGGATTTGCGTTGCCGTTTTTCTTTTGCGAGCAGTCACCACGAATGTAAGATAACCGCTGGCCAGATTTGCCTAACAGGACAAGCTTCCGTCTGGCGGAAATGAAAACAAGCTGCACCTCAAAAGCTCCTTCAAAACGCCTTTTTCTGTGTCCTGGTTTCAAAAAGCAAAGGAACTGAACATTATTTTTAAAGTAAGTGAGCGTGCGTGTAAACACCTGATCTACATGAGTACTCTGTTCATTATTATTGCAGCCATTTGTGCGTTGTTTCGCCCCAAATGAGTGATTTCAAAGATGATATGATGTAACTAATTGGATTTCCAAACACCGATGTCATTATTCGATCCATGAATATGATCTAGGCATGAGCTAAGGCTGGCTATACCGAGCCCGCATCCAGTGGAAACAACATATGAGATATATGAGACGCCCTCGGCCGGCTTCACTGTGCGACGTCATCCCTGCTACGCATTCAGTATTCAAGGAGCACCACGCTAACAACCATAAAAACTCTCCTGCGGCACCAGAGCCTCCTCCTACTCCAAACCCGCTCCGCCACCCACCTTCAGCCGGCCGCCCATTGCCACCACCCCGCTGCCCAGCACGTTCCCGCCGCCGTCACCGGGTGGCGCGCGGTTGTGACACCTCCCCCGGTAGAGAGGGAGAGAGGCGTGACGCGCTCACGGGAGTCCGTTACGTCACCAACCTAGTTCCGGCCTCCGAGCGTGCGTCGCGATCACCGCCGGTCGGCGCCGCGGCCTTCACGTTGCGCCACGGATCGCCCCTGCCGCGCCACAAAAACCGTGACCGCGCGGTGCCGCGTGAGCGTCTGACCTGGGCGGCGCGCGCCCACTCATCGCCACACCCCGGGGAGTACGGGGCACGGCACACCGGCGCTGAGCTCGTCTGACCGGCTGGTGGTGAGAGGAGCTCGAGCGGGGAGAAGGAAGGGGGGGGGGCAGATGTGGCAGGTGTGGCATCGGTCACAACAGCCCCAACCAAACGCATCAAGAGTTTCGAGCCCTTGTGCAGCAGTTGAAGAAGGCTGTTCGGTTTCTGTGCAGCAAGGGACATCCACTCAAACTGTTTTGCCCGGCTCATTATCTCTGCGTCTCCACCCGCGGAGAGAGGCTGGCAGGCGTCAGGTGGCCCGTCGGCGCTCGGTGACCCGGGGTCAGCAGCGGGGCTTCTCGTCGAGACGGTGCCACAGCCCGACGTCAAGAAGGTGACGCTTTCCACCGCGCGGTGCGATATCACGGTCCACTCGGCACCACCTCGGCGGGAAGATTGCACGCCTGCCGCGGGTGATCGTGCACCACGTGGGAATGATCGCGCGCGCTGTGCACGACGTGGGGAACACCCGGATGCCGTTCAGTTCAGCGCCGTGTGCTTCCATTCGTTTGCTGCAACGGCAGCATGCACCCACGTCCCACAAGCGTCTCATCTGTTTGGCGTCACGCTGTGGCCCAAGGCGGAGCACATTTGTATGCATATGGACGGAGGGACAGCGTTTTCATCAGATAGCGCCTGTTTGCTCGTGAAGAGTTTTTGGGTCGCGTGAGACCGCTATCCAGCATATGACCGGGGCACCGGCAACATCCAGCCCATGCACTTCTCTCCCGTCCTCGATGGGCGACGTCACGCAGGGGACGTTTTTGTCACCCCTCCTACGCGGCCCGTTCGGCCCGTATGACCCTGATCCTGACCGGCAAATGAGGTCCGTAGTCCGCGCAACAATGCAACGCCGCGCTGAAAACCTACCGGCACTTCGTCAAGGATAGTGGGGCAAAAAGTCGCCGCGGTCTGCGTCTGAACAAAGCTGTAGCCGCAGCTCCTCATCCCCTCCCCCCCCCCCCGCATCCGGACCCAGCTGCGCTACGATCCTCGCTTCCATTCGTTTGTCCTGATGCATCTCCTTCCGACCCCGAAACGGGACAATCTCGCCGGCTTAGGCGGGAGCACATGCTCCAAACGCATCATGTGATTATGCTCAGACAGGCGGTAGCTGTACGCAGGATATATACGTCGCACATCATTTGTAACTCCCTATATGGAGCCTTGCATAGCAGAATTTAACGTTCTTATTGCAAAAGTTTTGTAAGTGGAAAAGACAGCAAACACGTGTGGTTTTAGGAAGGCAGATCAAGCCTTATATCAATTTACATTGGGCTGGGCATGATTGTTTTGCATAGCTCCCCTTTTCTCCCCTTAATGCAACAAATAATTGGGTGCATACAGACATAACCAGAACGGCAATGTCTTTGGCCGCTCCAGGTCCTGTCCCCAGCGTTCATAGCTGCCGCACATGTTCGTTTCCGCAGTGCAGGCGATGCATCGTGCACATGATACGCATCACCTCCCGGGGCATTGACAATGTCATCGCGGGCGGCTATAACACACACCACAAGAGGGCGATCTGGGCACACACACACATACACATACGCACAGCGACCGCGAATTCAAAAGCCTCACCAGTAGCAGCAGAAGGCCGGAGTGTCTTGACAGCATCTTCATCCTGCGGCCTGCCGTCGGCGGCGATCTCCCGGTATCCGGACACGGACAGCGGACACAGACCGTGTCCGCGCGGACAAGCACCGGCAACGGACGCCGGCTCGCGGGCGGACGGCGCGGACACTTGTCAACACCGCGGACGGACCGGGCAGCGCGGACTCGCCGGGCGGATAGCGCGGGCACGGACAGCGCGGGCACGGCCAGCGGCCAGGCGAGCGGACGGCGCGAGCGCGAGTGAGGTGAGGCACGCCGGCGGCCGGCAGTGAAAGTTCTCAGCCGGGGAGCCCGCTGGTCCGGCGCTGAGCCGTGGCTCCGGCTGCAGCTGCCGCTGACCGTGGCGGGGGCCGAGCCAAGCGGGGTCGGAGGCGGGACGGGAACCGGCGGCGCTGATCGAGCTGACCGGTCACGGTCCGGCGGGGACGTCCGGACGGGACTGACCGCCGCGTGGTCACAACGCGCGACAAGAGCGTGTCAGCCAGCACACGCGGATCTCCGGATTGGTGAAAGAGTCGTTAGAACTGAGACGCAGGTACATGCCACAGATCAACAGTGTAGATACTGCCCTGAGCACGTTAGTGACCGGCCTAGTAAGCGGCACACTTCCGCAGCCTGGCGCTCAGAAGCAGCTACCGGCCGCCACTGACCGCCTCCTCCAGCGTCCACCGCTTCACGGCTCGGCGCGGCCGTCTCTGATGAGCGGCCGCACGCGCGCGGTGACGCGCTGCAGGCGGGGGAGGGCCGGCTGGCCGCGCCTGCCGCTGCGTCTGTCACCGCAGTGGGTCAGCGCCACACTGGGTCATGTCAGCCCGCTCTAGATCTCTGCACCCGTGGCGCTGCGCGTGCCGGCCGGCTCGCACACCTCCGTAAAAACAACCCTGAAACTGGCACCGTTTTCAAGCGGCACCGGATGAGCATACGCCCCGGCGGCCACCTCATAGCACATATCCCGCCTCGTCCCAGCCGGTGCTCCCCGCGGTGTTTGGTGTCAGGCGTGTACACCTGCAGTTACAGGCGCATCATACATGGTACATCATGTCACTGCGGTCACTGCGCCGCCCCCCCCCCCCCCCCACTGCAATGTTTGATGCGCACGCCTGTCTGTCAGCAGCACATGCATGACACGTCACGCGGGTGGAGAGCGTGGGGCGTTCGCCGAATCAGCACAGCGGCATGGATACCTGTCGTAGAAAGTGAGCGAACCCGAACATGATGCCCGCGAGTTACCATCCTTGTGCCGTTTACACCTGCACGTCGGATGTTTCGCAGAGGTGCTGATGCTGGTGTAAAGGTATCTGAGCCGTACTAAGGTATCTGAGCCGTAATAAGGTATCTGAGCTGTAGTAAGGTGTCTGAGCTGTTATAAGGTATCTGAGCTGTAATAAGGTACCTGAGCTGCAATGTCAACTAGGACGAACGGTGTGAGGGGAGGTCACGTGGCCAACCGGAGACAGCCCGTCGCTCGCTCGCTCTGCCCGGCGGCGGGCCGTCCTCCCTTCACCGAGCCACTCTCTCCGGCTCGTCCTGACCACACGGCTTCGCATCCTTTGCTGAGCCGCTGCTCCGCACTTCCACCCCGCACTTTCCACCCGGCGCGCGGCGTCGGTCGCCGGCCGTTGTGGCCGGCTCCCCCGCGGCACCAGTCGTCGTGTCAGAAGACACGGCGCGCGGCCGCCGTGACATGTCGACGCTGCATGTTCGCACGCTGGTGACGACCGAGGAATCAGCGGCTTAAGCCCCGGATCGGAAGGTCTTCTAGTTCCGCTTTATAGATTTTGAGCCAATGAAATGTTTGCTGACGCAACCTTAACTGGAGCGGAAATATGTCGTAATGTATGGCAAGTGTTTGATACCCAAGCAATAACTTGCACATTCTGCTCACACTGAGTTGTTTGCGTCACTGGGAGCGCGCGCGCAGTGTGGTCTGCCGTGATGTTCACACGTTCGTCGCAAACAAAGAAGTTGGACGGGCAACCCACAACACCGTCACAATCAACGGCAGGCGTTCAAATTGCGGGGCTAACCCACTTCCCCATACGAAAGAAATGTGGCCGGTTAACCAAAAAACCGGCTGGAAAATACACCAAGGGCCTCCTGCCAGATGGGATCAATAAAACCAGCGATCGCGAGAACGAGCTTTGCGATAGAGCGCGCGATTGCAGCTGACGGCACTT